TAACTGCAAATGTAAACAAATAGGTGAATGCACACCCAGTATACAGACTGTTATTTGCCTTTAAGACTCCTAAGTCACATATCACTGATATAAGATTCATAGTAAATTTGTTGTTTCAAGATCACTGTATATTATTTCTCATGATTCAGGATTGGTACCCCCCCCTCCCTTCCAGACAAACAGAAATATAGATGATACATCCCAAAAAATAAATATGAAATTAACTCACACACACAAAGGTTTCAAGATACTGTGTACAATTTCATTCACAACTGTATTTTAAACTACATACATACGGAAACCAACCTGTCACTCGACCAGTTAATTGTTTCAAAATATTCTGCTTTGATATTTATAACTACATGTTTAATACACATGAAGAATTTCGTTTCCACAGATGTCCCCTCTGATTTATCCTTCCATAAAAGTACAATAAAATCAAAGTGATATTCTTTGGTCAGTACATAAAAATTACTTATAATCAACAATGTTTATTTAATTCTTTATAAAACGTCGCACACAAGCAGCTGCATTGGATACAAAATAGACAGTTTAAATTAAAGACAGATCACTCGACTAGTTTCTCTCAGTTTGATCTTCGTCCTTCGATAAGTATTACCGTTAGCTATACCACAATTTGTTGAAAGAAAGCTCGTAGAATGCATAGATAATATATACCCACTCTTAAATCTCACTAGGAAAGTTTTATTTATCATAATAATATGAAAACTCGAAAACATCGCGCCTTCGCGCCGCCATGTTTGATAAAATCAATCGGCTCCGCTCCCCCCGGATTGAAAACTAAATTATTACGAAATGCAACCTCGTCCCCAGGGTCTTCCTCGTGGTGGCGCGTGAGCTGAGGAAGACCCTGGTAAAATACGATGAAATCTCCAAGATTCTTGGAGATTTATCGCATGCGCAGTAACGACAACGTTATGTTGCTGACTACAATTATCGCTGGCGCTTACGATTTTCTTCTTTAAAATATACATGTTTTGTTGATTGTTTATGCATTTATTCTCAAAGTTTTAACAAATTTTACGAAAAATACTTCAGATATAAGCTGTGAACACACATGTACACAAAACTGTGCAACATTCATCATCATATTGTATCAATTTGTCGGAGTATGACGCTCATATTTGTGACATCGTTTTCTTCGCTTTGGCAACCCTCGTATATATCAGATGCTGTTCGGCCTCAAATGCGACTGAATAAACACTGATTGTGTTGCCTGGAATGTGAAATGATATTGACTGATTGTTCTGTATATCAAGGTATGTACTGTACATTTATACTGAATTTATTCGATTTTTTTCACACGTCGCTTTCACATTTTCAGAGAGTCTCGGAAATCACATTTTCTAATAAACACAGTTTCACACATACAGAAAGATTCCATTTCACCCATACAGAAAGACTTCTTCAGAAATCACAGTTTTTAACATACAGAAGAACTTCATATTATCTCATCAGTTAATCCAATTATGATAACAGTAGAAATGCTTAGAAAGATTTTATTCTGTTCCATATACAGTACAACTGTTATTTCAATTTTCTCTTTCCTATATTTTATTTAAAGCAGGTACTGTTCTGTTACAAAACAACTAATAAACATTTTATTATTTTACAGTCAATTTCAGCTGACTTTTCACCGTAAGATTCCGAACTTCGTTCCGAACTTCGCAAATTCGTTGCCAAGTTCAAAAGTTCATAATGAAATTCACAAACAGGTTTGTAAACAAAGCCTCTGATTGGCTATTAAATCAAACCAGCCAATCAAATGCCCAGTTTACAAACCCGTTTGTGAATTTCATTATGAACTTTTGAACTTGGCAACGAATTTGCGAAGTTCGGAACGAAGTTCGGAACATTTGAGTGAAAAGTCAGCTGAAATTGACTGTAACAGGTGAACCATATTTTACATGAACTTGGGAAAAAACCAACTTGGATTCCATGGAAAATTGGAAATATATATAATCATGTCATCAATCAGATAGTAAACAATCATTAAGATGGCCTCAAAATTATATTTCACAGTGACCAACATGAAAATTTTTAAATGGGAATTATTTGATGGCATTATAGTTTTCTAATGCTATATAATTTTGTTCATCAAGGTGAAGAAAGCTTAACTCACTATACCTTTTCCTGTTACAGAGCTATGGTAGTAATCTTTGAAGATTTTCATGATCCCTCTATCCAGTAGTTAACCAGTCTAGTATTATGACTGTATTATGTTAAATAGCCTTGTTTGACTTTTGTATTTTGTTTCTTTAATAATACATTTACAATGGTCAAAATTACAGTTTAATATTTGTATTTCTAATGATAATTACTTGCATATATCCATCACACTTCTCTGTTACTATTAAACTTATTACTATCATGCAAGTAAAATCTCTTGGGAAAAATAAAATGTTGTCCCAGGATGGTCATAAATATCAGCTAGTAAAACTAATGAATATACCTTTAATCATGTACATATGACTATCATATAATATGTTGTAATTCCTTTAAGTGTTTCAAATTAAATAAATTTCTATTTTCAGTTGTTCATTGTTCAAACTTATTTGAAACCTACAGTATATGTAGTTGCTATGATTCAAATTAATATCCAAAAGTGTGCCTTTTACTTCAGTCCTTATGGACTCCTCCCTAATACAGACACTTTATTGTGCCACTCCAATGTTCATTCAAAGTGATCCAACTGGCATCTGAGCTGGTGATAATATACAGCAAAGTATTGGAACTAGGAGTATATCAGATAAGTTGTTCATTCAGTCAAGACCTTCAGGTTGTGCTGATCATCATATCAAACTCCATCACATATTGTGCCTTAAAAACATATATACAAATTTTAAAAGTTGTTGCAGCACACTGGGCCATTCCATCTAATATAGCCCCCACACCTATTGGGGGGTCTCTCATAATACCTTAAAAATTTTGGAACCCCATTGGATGCAATTTTGGAACCCCTATGAATATCCTTCTACCCCTTTAGGATATAGTTCCTGCTCCTTTGGATATCACTAAAACACCTAATTTTTAGGAAATCTCTTAAGCTACCCTCCAGAAAAAATTAAGGTAAAAACTCCCTCTCTAAACTCCCCATATAGGATATCCAGACCTAATAGGGGGGCTATTAAATGGAATGACCTATTTGACTTGGTGAGTGGTGACTACCACCAAAGCAAAATGAAACATGCTGGCCTGCTTTACATACAGAATACATTTTGAAGCATTTCTACTGTTACTTGTAACGATAAACAGATTTGATGAGAAAATATGGAGTCTTTCTGTATGACTGTATGTTAGTGATGTAATCTCATTGTTCATAAGGCTGAAATAGTTTGAAACTCGTGTGAAAATATATTCAGTATAAATGTACAGTACATACCTTGATATACAGAACAATCAGTCAATATCATTTCATATTCCAGGCAACACTATCAGTGTTTATTCAGCCGCATTTGAAGCCGAACAGCATCTGGTATATACAAGGGTTGCCAAAGCGAACAAAACGATGTCACAAATATGAGCGTCATACTCCGACAAATTGATACAATATGATGATGAATGTTGCACAGTTTTGTGTACATGTGTGTTCACAGCTTATATCTGAAGTATTTTTCGAAAAATTTGTTAAAACTTTGAGAATAAATACATAAACAATCAACAAAACATGTATATTTTTAAGCAAGAAAATCGTAAGCGCCAGCGCTAATTGTAGTCAGCAACATAACGTTGTCGTTACTGCGCATGCGATAAATCTCCAAGAATCTTGGAGATTTCATCGTATTTTACCAGGGTCTTCCTCAGCTCACGCGCCACCACGAGGAAGATCCTGGGGACGAGGTTGATTTTATGTGCCAATTTTTCCGCGTGTGATGATTCCAAAATGCGGGTGTCACCCACTCAATGCGGGTGAGTTCACATATCTGTGTCTAGCACATTAAATAATACGGGTTAACATTAACGCCTGGTTAAATTCGGTCTTCCATGTAATTAAGAACGTATATTTACATGGAGGGATGGTGATCCTACTATGTTCACATTAATGCCAACTAACATCGTCAACATCCTACCAGTGGGCAGTGGCGAGCTAGCCATGGTAACTGCTCATACTAGACATACTATGCTAATAAAGACAATACATTTCTAAAGGTTTGAATAATGCAAATCATTAAAAATTGCATAGCTACCCAACCGTTGCATGGCCACTGATCTGTGTCTCAAAAAAGCTAAAATAAGAATTGTATTACGGGAGTTGTATTACCGTATACCGCAATACAAGTCCTCAATACCCAAATTAAACTACGTCCACCAACCCAGCATATTCCACTCACCCTCAGTCCATGCAATACATAAGCCTCCACCTCCCCCCGCCGTAAATAAGCCAAGAGGTTAAAATTGAGTAATTGAAAAACAAAAATGCTTTCAATGATGTTACGTTGATTTGACAAGGGAATGTTATGTCACTGTATAGTTTAGAGTACACTTATACGAACACAAAATTATTTTCGTATACAATATCGCCGTCATATGTAAGCGCGTCTGCGTGGAAGCCCATCTTATATTGGGAGTAATACTCATTAGTAATACGGCATTTTTTTAAACGAAACGAAGTCCGAATAAAACATCTAGTTGAGCAATGCAAGACATGGATTAAAACAAGATTATGGCCAAGCATAATAGTTTTTGACATTTCGATTATTCATTTATTTCGTCAATTACAATATTAATAAGAATCATTATGATTTAAAGTAATCTAACCTAAAGGGCTAGGAGCCAACTAGGAACCACTGGGTTTTTGAAATTTGATTCCTTGTAAAATATTTACACGATATGTACAGCATAAATCAGTTCAAAGCAATAGTTTATAATCAGGGCCACCGAAAGGGGTTGGGAGCCCCAAAACCAAAAGAGGCCCCCGAGCCCCAAAATCAAAAGAGGTCCCCAAAGCAACGAAGGCCTTTAAAATTTCTAGATACAAGATTGCTACTGAGAATATAAAAATATCAGTAAATCTAGCTGCGTTAGTGTCAGACAAAAATGTAATAAATTGTGATTTATTGTAAAACACGCTTCTGCCCTTCAGACCTGGAAAAAACACAGGAGGCCCAGGCTCGATTTGCCCGCGCCCGCCTGTGCCTTCCTTATAACGAGGGAAGGAAGGAGACATTGAGACCAAAATAGCCCAGACTGGCATATGTCACACGAAACTATCCTCGATTTTTCGCCTTTAATGCATTTCTTTCACGATTAATCGATATCCC